ACCATCGCGCCACTCGGCCGGCCCCTCCCAATTTTTAAACACCGTGTTAACTAAGACATTGCTAGTACAGAGTTAACCTCAAATCATGCAGCTCATGATGCCTGATCTGGACGCAGATGACACTTCCAAGCCAGTGTATGTCCCCAGTGTATCTGCAGTCTACCGGTGAGCTGATGAGGTCACTTCAAAGCCACTCCTTGGCTGAGAGCAGGTAGCTTAGGACAGAAACCACAGAGCAGCCCCTCATGCCTGGATAGCATCCTCATCTGAGTCCATAAACGGGGATGAGAAAAAGGGAAACCAGGGAAATGTGGGGGTCTCTCCCGGAAGGAGCACAGGCCCCATGGCCTAATCCAACTCCTTGGGCATTCCTCTGATAAAGAAGGTAATGGGGACTTAATGGTGGAACCAAAGGGCAGCCTGGGGACGTAAGCCCCCATAATGTTCATCAGTCTCTTCAAATGAACCTAAGTGACGAAATGTGCTTGCTATGCAAACGCAACTCCAAAACAAGGTTGCTCAGAATGAGACAGCACTTCATACCCGCGGGGATGGCTGTAATAAAAAACAACAACAACATAATAATAAGTGTTGGTGAGGATGTGGAGAAATTAAAACCCTCAAACACTGCTGACGGGAATGTAAAATGGTGCGGGCACTTTGGGAAACAGTCTGGCAGTTCCTCAAAATGTTACACACAGAGGTTCCATATGACCCAGCAATATAACTCCTGGGTGTATACCCCCATAGAAAAGAAAACATACATTTACACAAAAGCTTGTTCAAAAGTGTTCATAGTAGCATTCATTATTCTTGATAGCCAGAAGGTGGAAACAGACTAAATATCCATCAACGGATGAATAAAGTGTGGTGTATCTATATATTGGAAATTATTTATCAACCAAAAGGAATGAAGTACTGATACATGCAACAACATGGACAGACCTTGAAAATACTAGGCTAAGTGGAATAAACCAATAAAAAAGACCACATATCACATTATTCCACTTAATATGAAACGTCTGGAAGGGACAAATCTATAGCAACAGAAAGTAGTTTAATAGTTGCCTAGGTTTGGGGTGTGATGAAGAGAGTTGGGGAGATGCCAGCCAAAGGGTATGGTGTTTCTTTCGGGGCTAGTAAATATGTTCTAAGATTACTGTGGTGGTGGTTACACAATCCTGTGAATATAGTAAAATCCATCGAATTGTATACTTTAAGTGGGTAAATTGTACATGTGAATTACATCTCAAAAAAGTTAGTAACAAAAAAGAACCCCCAAACTTAGATTGCCGCCCTTAATCACCTTCTATTAAAAAATTCTGCATCTATATCGGTCCTTTCGCATCAGCCTACTTGAGAAGACAGGACAAGCATTCTCTAAGGATGCTTTTCCTCAAAGGCTCAGGGCTTGTACCAGAGTGACTCACTGGCCTGGTTTGCCCAAGGCTGTCCCAGTGTTAGCACTGAAAGTCCTGTGTCCCAGGAAATCTCTCATTTCTAGGAAAACTGAGGTGGTTGGTCGCCCTAGTGCAAATCCTTTCCCATAGCACAGGAAAGCTCTGCCCTTATTGCTGCCAGTGGCTACAGTGGAGTCACCAGAGAAATAATCCTTCTTTGTGTATAAGTCTTTCTTGAGGTCCTCCTAATCGTCAAAATATATTTTAATTATTGTTGTTCCCATTTTACAGATGAGGAAACTGAGGTTCAGAGGCATGAACTAACTTGCCAGAAGTACACAGGAGGCAGGAATTTAACCTGGGTCTTTTTCCAAAGCCCAAGTTACCCCTTCTACTCATCATATCATCCTCACCGTACCACTGGGTTGACTGAACAGCAACACCCTTAGATTGCTCTTGACCCCTGGGGAAGGTGTCAGACATCCAGACAGAGGAAGACTGAATTTTTAGCTATGTGAAGACAAGGAGACATGTACACCTCGGTGGTTAATAGCACAGGCTGTGGAGTCAGACTGCTCAAGTTTTGAATATGGGCTCTGCCACTACTTAGCTGTGTGACCTGGAGCAAGTTACTTAACTTCCCTGTGACTAAGTTTTTCCATATGTAAAATGGGAAAAATAATGGCACTCTGTGTGTGTGTATCACATAGGATTGTAATGAGAGGTAAATAAATCAATAAATGTGTAAGAGGCTTAGGATGGAGGCTGGCAAGTAGGAAGTTTACTAAATAAATGAAAGAAAGCACAAATTCATATACCCAGCATTGAAAAGAAATCAGATTAGGCCTAAGGAAAGCCAGGCAATGGGGTCAAATTATGGAATTGAAACCCTAACATTCTACTCTGTTCCTTCCCATGAAAATGTTTACGGTTTAGGGATTGCTGGAAGCTCCCTAGACTATAAGCAAACCTTTAAAAGCAACATGGCAGTGGCAACCTGGCAAGCCCTACCAAAATGAGATGACATGGTGCAGGCTTGAGGCCCTGGCTGGCAGACTGGAGCCCAGGAGATCCCCTCAAATACCTGCCCATAAGGGCAAAGAGAGCTGGTACCCTCCCATGAGGGCAGCACCAAGTACTCAGCTCTGATTTCTGAAACAGGTGTGATCAACCTCACTTTACAGATGTGCAAACAGGCTCAAAGAAGTCCAAGAATTTGTTCAAGGTACGGCTAATAACATGGAGTGGGGATTCAAACTTAGGTTGAATTCTGAAGTCCCTCTGCTTTATTGCCTCCCTATATTAGCTATTATTGCTGCATAACAAATTACCTCAAAACTTAGTAGCTTAAACCAACAAACATTTATAATCATACAGTTTTTGAAGTTCAGACACCCAGGAGTGGCTTAGCTGGGTGGTTCTGGCTCAGAATCTCTCATGAGGTAATAGTCAAGACGTTGGCCAAGGCTACGGTCATCTCAAGGCTCTGCCAGGGCTGGAGAATCTGTTTCTAAACTCAGTAATGAGGTTGCTGGCAGGCCTTAGCCTCTTGCTGGCTACTGGTCAGAGGCTTCAGTTCTTTGCCACGTGGGCCTCTCCAGAGAACTGCTCACAACATGGCAGCTTGCTTTCCCTAGAGCAAGAGATCCAAGAAAAGAGAGCAGGTACACTAGTGAGCACCAAGGAGCCGCAATCTTTTATAACTAATCTCAGCAGTGACATACCATCACTTCTGCCACCTGCTTTTAGTCACACAGACTAATCCTGGCACAATGTGGGAGAGGACTAGGCAAAGGTGTGAATCCCGGGAGGCTGGGATCATTGGAGGCCATCTTGAAAGGCGATGACTACACAGCTCATCTTTCTAAAGCAAGGCAAGAAACACACAGTCCTGCAAGTAATAAGGCACTGTCCCCGCAAAAAAAAGTCACAGAAATTAATATTAGTCTAAGCACTTTTTGGATGCTGTTCAAATTCAATTCACTCAAGGCACTAGGCTGGCCCCTATGAATACCGGGCAGGAGTTTAACCCAAAGCTGTATTTCCTCATGTATAAGACGCACCTTAATTTTGGGGCCCAAAACTTGAAAAAAAATGTATTATATAAAGTTATTGAACTCAAGTTTATTCATCATAAAATTCATACAACTCCTCATCATTGTCAAAACTCCCAACCATTAGCTTGTCCTCATCTGTGTCTGATGACGAATCACTGTCTTCATAAATTGCCTCGTCCTCAGTTCCATCTATGGCATTTGAAATCCCACGCTTCTTAAATGACGTGACAACGATCTACAACCACTGTATAAGACGCACCCAGGTTTTAGACCCCAAAGTTTTCAAAAAAGTGTGCGTCTTATACATGGGGAAATACGGTAAGTGGCTTATGGCAGAAAACAAGAATCAAGCCATGTGGCTCCTTGGAGAAGAGGGAGAGGCCAAAAAAGAGAGGTGGGCACAGGACTCCATGACAATGTGGTTCTAAAATCTTCTAGTCTAGGCATGGGTTCATCCTCAGACAACCTGGGTTTATTTTCTTAGGCTAGAACAACACCCTCACAGAAAATAGGAGAGAGAGGAGTAGGTGGCAGAGGAACAAATGTCCTTACTAGCTTACAGTTTCTGGAATTTCACAATTAGATCATCTTTCTTGAGCTGGAAATGATCATAACCTGTTTTGAGTAAAATTTTGCTAAGGAAGTGGGGTTGGAAAAAGAAAGAGCCAACCAGATACTAAAGATGAATAAGAGAAATGCCAGAACCTGTGGGGTTGAGGTGCAGAGGACACGTGGTTCCTTAAAAACCAAGTTCCACGACTCAACCATTTCAGTCTGTGTTTAAGGTAGCATCTCGGAGCCCTGGGCAAATCAGAGCCCTGTACTGCCACTCAAAACCTGTTGTCACATTCACTGTAACTACCTTGTTGAATAAAGAAATCAAATCATTTCCATGAACCACCCCCACTATAGATGTAATAGGAACCTAGCAGGTAATATTTTTCATTGGATTGCCTCCCTCCCTACCTCTCACAAACACTTCCCCACCTGCTCTTTAAAACAAGATATCCCCTAGGACTCCAGGAAAGTCACTAAAAACCCTAAATGATTCAGCTTCCCCATCTGGACAATGCAAATAATACCAGCTCCTACCTACCCCATACAGAAGGAAACTCTAACGTGAAAGCTATTTTACATTCTTCGAGATGGGGGAGGGGGGGAGGGACAAATTCCAAGAATTCCTATATGGGCAGCCACATTTTAATTCCAAGCATCCAGGTACGCTGATCACTCTTGAACAGCTAGGTTTCCAAGGTGTCTGCCAATGCAGGCGCATTCCTCCAATCAGTCAGCCCATCACTTGGGTCAAGGGAAAATCAGAGTTTCCCCTGATCTGGTAAGTAAAGAAGCCGATTTTCCTCCCGCGAAAGCCATCCCGCGCCCGCGTCCTCCTTATCCCACCACCCTCGCGTCTCCCGGCTGGGCCATCCAGCCGTCTACATCGCCCTACTTGGCTCCTCCCCTTTCCGCAGTGCCACGAGCGGGGCAGCTCCCGCCACTCTGAAGGACTGCAGCCCCCAGCATGCCCCGCGGCGGCTGTCAGGGCCACGTGACAGCGCTTCGCCCAGTGAGACGGTCACATGACCCGGGGAAGATGGCTGCGTTGACAGCAGAAAACTTCGCAGCGCTGCAGAGCCTGCTGAAGGTAAATTGGAGGGGCGGCGACAACGTGAGTCGGGCCCTTGTCCCCGAGATTTTAAGTGGAACAAGAACTGGGAATAAACCGACCTTGATTTGGAGCCACGATTCTGCCACTACCTTTCTGTGTGGCCCCGGGCAAGTCTTTGCGCCTTTCTGAGCTTTTTAAAAGCAGGAACAAAATAACGCCCGGACCGAATGATGGGGGGACAAATATGATAATGGTTGTGAAGGCGCTGTACAAATGCCTCGTACTAATGGTCTCTGGTCTGGCTCTCGGGGTTGGTGTAATAGGGGGGTAATTGCTGGGCCCACGTGGCCAGTTCCGATTTCATCCAGCAGCCCCTGAGCGCTCCGTGGTTGAGAAATTCTCTGCTCTTCGTGCTCCCAGCCCCCTGATTAAAGTGTGCGTTCTTTGTTCCCTGGAGTCCCGGGTTTTCTGTACTTGCTTTGACCTGTGTAAGGGCCCAAGCACTCTCCTGATAATCATCTGAAAGATTGTGAGGTTGAAAGGGATCGTACTTCATAGCACTTTGTAAGGATCAAATGAAACGATGGACTGGAATTATTTGCCTAACTTCTGACTTCCCCTGTCGAAGGGGCGGCTTTATCTTCCTTCGTAGAACTTGTCACTGGCAGACACTATACGTCTCTTTGTCTGTCTTTCTCACAAGAATGTAAGATCCATGAGGATTTAAAAAAAAAAACAACCAAACACCAGATGAAGAGGGTTGAGTTAATGACACTCAGCAGCTGTGTGTAGCACACGTTCATCATTCATGGCACAACAGTCATCATTGGTCCATGCAATGGTCTCTGTTGTTTTAAACGCCTCCCCAGTGTTCACTCGTATACTCCATCCCTAAAGACATCTATGTAATTAACATATCTATCACCAACAAGTACCTGTGTACCACAGACACTTGGTACACAGCATGTGCTTAATAAACAGTTGTAGATGAATTAATGAAGTAATAAAGCTGGGACTGGAAATCTAGCGCTCTCAGCTCCCAGCCTAGTTCCTTTTTCACCCTCGTTGTGCCTGCTCTTCCCCACTCCCCCTCCCATGCCTATTCATGGTCTGGACTTTATTTCTTTAATAAACTTATTTCATTGTGAATGTGTAACATACATACAAAAAAAGTGCACAAATCATAAGTGCACAGTTGAATGATTTATTACACACCATGCAGCCACCACAATGGTAAAAAATCTGAAACATTGCCAGTACCCCCAAAGTCTCTCTTATTGCTCTGTTACTCCCCCCACTCTCCTACCCAATAATAACCACTATCCTTACTTCTAACACTGTCAATTTAATATTGCCCATGTTTGAACTCTTCACATAGATTGAATAAGACAACATATTTGTGTGTGTGTGTGTGTGTGTGTGTGTGTGTGTGTGTCTGGCTTCTTTTGCTTGCCATCATGTAGCAATAGTTCATTTATTTTCATTCCCATCATCCTATGTCCTTTTCTTTTTAAAAAATTACCCAAACTTTTTATTTTGAGATAATTATTGACTTACATGCAGTTGTAAAAAATTTTACAGAGAGATCCCATTTATCCTTTACCCATTTTCCCCAACGGTAACATATTGAAAAACTATGGTGTGTTACCACCATGATATTGACACTGATGCAGTCAAGATACAGACCGTTTCCATCACCACAGGATCCTTCATGTTGCCCTTTTATAACCACACCTACTTCCCCTCTGCCCCCGCCCCCTCCTTAACCTCTGGCATCCACTAATCTGTTCTTCATTTCTACAGTTTTTTCATTTCATTTCAGGGATGTTAAAAATGGAATCATATAATATGTAACCTTTTGGGATTGGCTTTTTTCACTTAGCCCAGTTCTCCCAATAGTCATCCACAGTTGTATGTATCAATAGTTCTTTGCTTTTTGTTGCTGAGTAGTATACCATGGTATGACATCTAGATTGTTTCCAGTGTTTTGCTATTACAAATAAGCTGCTGTAAACATTTGTGTACAGGTTTTGTATAAACATAAGTCTTTATTTCTTTGAAATAAATAATTGTTGGATCATTTGGTAGTGCATGTTTAGTTGTTTTTTAAAAAAACTGCCCAACTTTTCCAGAGTGGCTGTGCACTTTATATTCCCACCAGCAATGTATGAGCTGTCCAGTTTCTCCCCATCCTCATCAGCATTTGTTGTCATCACTATATTTTATTTGAGCTGTTCTGATAGATGTATATTTATATCTCATTGTGGTTTTAATTTGAATTTCCCTAATAGTTAACGATGTTGAACATCTTTTCTTGTGCTTATTTACCATCTGTATGTCTTCTTCAGTGAAATATCTCTTTATGTCTTTTGCCCATATCCTAATTGGATGTTTGCTTTTTTACTTTTGAGCTTTAAGATTCTTTATATATTCTAAACACTAGTGCTTTGTTGGATATGTGGTTAGCAAATATTTTCCCCTCATCTGTAGCTGTCTTTTTCATCCTCTGCGTAAGGGCTGTATTAGGTTGCTAGGTCTGCCTTAACAAAGTACCATAAGCTCAATGGTTTAAACAACATAAATTTATTGTCTCACAGTTATGGAGGCCAGAAATCTGAGATCAAGGTATCAGCCCGTTTGGCTCCTTCTGAGTGCTACGAAGAACGATTTGCTCCACGCCTCTCTTGTAACTTCTGTTGGTTTCTGGTACTCTTTGGTGTTTCTTGGCTTGTAGATCTCTGCACTCATCCTCACGTGGTGTTCTCCCTGTTTGGGTCTCTGTGTCTAAATTCCCCCTTAAATAAGGTCATTTTGAATTAAGGTCTACCCTATGACCTCATCTTATTGAATTACATCTGCAAGAACCCTAATTCTAAATGAGGTCACATTTTGAGAAACTGGGGGTTAGGACTTCAGTATATGAATTTTGGGGGGAGACAGTTCAACCCATAACAAGAACTTTTGCAGAGCAAAAATTTTAATTTTGAGGAGATACAATTTATCAATTTTTCCTTTTATGATTGTGCTTTTGGTGTTAAGTCTAAGAACTTTTTGCCAAGCCATAGATCCCCAAATTTTCTCCTAAAAGTTTTATAGTTTTACATTTACATTATGTTTTACATTTAAGCCCTTGATCAATTTTGAGTCAATTTTGTATCAGACATGTGAGGCAGCTTGAGATTTTTTTGGGGGGACCTGTGTATGTCCAATTGTTCCATACCACTTATTGAAAAGTCTGTTACTCCTCTATTGAATTGCTTTTGCAACCTTGTCAAGAATCAGTTGGGCATATTTGTGTGGGTCGATTTCAAGGTCCTCGATTTTTTCTCATTGATCTATGTGTCTGTCCCTCTGACAATATTATACAGTCTTGGTTACTATATTATTATAAAGTCTTAGAATGAAATGGAGTGATTCCTCCTACTTCATTATCAAAATTGCTTTAGCTATTCTAGTTCCTTTGCCCGCCTGTATACATTTTAGAATGATCTTGGCTATATCTTAAAAAAAATAAACATGCTGAGATTTTGATAGGATTTGCATTAAACCTGTATGTCAATGAGGGGAGAGTTGACATCTTTAGTGTGTTGAATCCTCTAATCCATGATTATGATATGTGTCTCCTTTTATTTAGATCTTTGATTTCTTTCATCTATGTTGTATAATTTTCAGCATACAAGTCCTATATATTTTATTAGATTTATGCCTACCGTATTTGCCGGCGTATAAGACGATTTTTTGGCCCTGAAAAATATGCCTCCAAGTGGGGGGTCGTCTTATACGCCAAGTACACTTCAG